AAGAATATCAATCATCTGAAATAGTATTTTACTTCCTGACTTTTTTAAGTTTTAAGAAATGTATTTGTCACAGTATTTAATTTAAAAGTTTGCGATTTATCAGGAGGTATACACCAAAACCCCTTGATGTTTGGTTGATTGAAGTTTATTATAATTTTGTTGAATCTCACGAATCAAAAAACAGTCTATTTTATTGATAGCTTTAATAAGATAAGACCCCTCTGATATGTTCATGTATATTTTGATTTTGATGAAGTGTAGCGAATGATCAGTAATAATTCTTTTTTTTTTAAACAGGGACCTGTTGCATTTTGTACAAGAGCCAGTTTGCCAGTTAGCGAAGGTTTCTTTGGTAATTGGGAAAATTTGCCTTCTTTCTATATTCTCCAGACATCTAAAGATTACTAAACTTTATGATGTTAGAAATGAAATTATGGTTTTTGCTTGCGAGGGTATGTATTTTTATTAAACATGTAAAAGAGTTTTTTCCTGTAAAATAGTTTCAAACTTATTATTCATGTAAACTCCTGTATGTAAACCTTTGGTTCTGGATAATAATTTGAAATTATTTCTACATTCTGGCATTTTTTCCTGCTGTTTCTTGTTAGGCTTAATTTATAAATACATGAAATTGATAACATTGGCTCCAATGCATGTGCCACCACTGCTGGCTGAAATTGTTAGTATTGATAACTTTTGAGGAGAGACATTTATTGGTTCGTGAATGCGATGTGTTTTTTGATTCTTTTGAATTTTAAGCCTTGTAAATTAATTTCATAAATAAACATTAAATTGGAAAAAGTATTTAATAAGAGTAAAGTATACCTCTGTGGAAATTTAGTAGATAATCAAGAGGTTTTGTTAATTTTACATATATGCCTACTTTTTCAGATTTTCCTTTCTCTGATTACCAGAATAATATCTTTAGCTCCATAGAATAAGGTTATACAGTATATTCTGAGTTCCTTGAAGATGGAGATCATATTTATTTTTTAACAGCTTTATTAAGGTATAATTGGCATACAATAAAGTGCACATATGCTAAGTACACGGTCTTATATAAGTTTGACATATACATACCTGTGAAATGCTAACCAAAATCCAGATAGTGCAAATGTCTGCACCCCCCAGCGCTTTCTCCTCCTCCTTTGTAATCTCTGCCCTACACACTCTGTGATCCCTCCCTCTTGTTCTTTACACACTCTCTGTACTTTGTCCCAGGAAATCACTGACCTCCTTCTTCTTGTCACCATCAGTCAGTTTTATTTTCTACATTTTATAAAATTGGAATCCTGTGGATTTTTATTTTATATTTTTTTGGTTTTTCCTTCTTTTAGGCAATAAAGTTATTTTGTATGGACCCATACTCTTAAATATATCAATAGCTTCAAACTTTTTTATTGTTATTGGATACTATGTTTTTCTATTAATTTGCATATTTCATTTGGGTCATTCAAATTTTGCCGTTGAGATAAAGATGTTCGGCCATTTGTAATGTGAACATTTGTGTACAAGTTTTATGTATAACATATATTTTAATTTCTCTTGATTAAACAAGTAACCCTAAGAGTTAGAATTGACCTAGATCAGAATGTTTAACTTTGTATGTTTTAAAACCTTTTTAAGAAAAATGACAGACTTTTTCAAAGTTGTTGTACCATTTCTCATTCCCACTAACAGCATATGAAAAAGCTTCATTTTTTTTTTTCCCACATCTTTGCTAAAAGCAATTTGGTCTGTTTTTGTCCTTTTAATTTTAGCCATGTTAACAGGCGTACACCAGTATCTCATTGTTCTGAATGGTGAAACGATGTTTACTGAATGCGCCTTTTCATATGCTCCTTTGCCATCTGAATGTCTTCTGGTGAAAAATATCTGTTCACATAATTTTGACCCCAATTTTTGAATGGGTTGTTTTCTTATTAAAGAGTCTCCTTCCTCCCTCCTACTCCCTCCCTCTTCCTTACCTTCCTGTACTGGAGTTTGAACTCAGGGCCTCACATTTGCTAAGCAGGCAGGTGCTCAACCATTTGAGCCACTCTGTCAGCAAGATTTCTTTACATGTTGTGGACATCAGTCTTTTGTCACATATATAATTTATAGAAATTTTCTCCTAGTCTGTGACTTGTCATTCCCTTAACTATATTTTTTAAAGAATTACGGTAAAATTCCATGTAAGTCATTTTTAAATGTGCTCCTTAGCACATTAAATATATTCACATTGTGCCATCTCCACAACTGTTTCCATCTTGCAAAACTGAAACTGAAACTAGTAAATAGCAACCCCACCTCTTTCCTACCCTTCCACCCTTCGTCCCCCCAGTTCTTGGCAACCACACTGCACTTTCTGTCTCTGTGAATTGACTACTCTGGGTACTTCATATAAGTGGAATCAGACTCTATTTGTTCTTTTGTGACTTGGCTTATTTCACTTAGCATAATGTCCTGAAGGGTTATCCATGTGGTGGCCATGTTCACAATCTTCCTTTTTAAGGTAGAATAATGTTTGATTGAATGCATGTGACACATTACAAGCATTCAGGGGTCACTTGAGTTGTTTTCACCATTTTTTCTATTGTGAATTAATCTGCTAAATGAACGTGGTATAAAAATATATCTTTGAGACTCTGCTTTTCAATTTTTGGGGTATATATTCTCTGAATTATAAGTGATGGATCGTATGGTATTTCTGTTTTTAATTATTTTTGAGGAAATCACTGTGCTGTTTTTCTATAGTGCCTTTACCATTTTACATTTCCACCACCAGGGGTGCATAAGAATTCTAATTTTTCATGGTCAGATGTGTTAGCACACACCTGTAATCCCAGTTACTTGGAGGCTGAGATCAGGAGAATCATGATCCCAGCCTGGGCAGAAAGTTAGTGAGACCCCCATCTAGTGAATAAGCAAGGTATGGTGATGTGTGCCTGTAATCCCAGCTATTCAGGAGACATAGGTAAGAGGATAGAGGTCCGAGGCCAGTCCCGGGAAGAAACACGAGACCCTATCAAAAAAAAAAAAATTAAAGCAGAAAAGGGCCGGGAGTATGGCTCAAGTGATAGAGTTCCTGCATATCACTTATGAGGTGTTGAGTACCAGTCCCTAAGTGAGGATCCTTGAAGAGAATTCATTGTAGTATTTATTCATTTATGAAGCAGATATTTACTGGACAGCTGTTTGGCACAGTTCTGGGTGTTAAAGGTAGAGCAGTGAACAAAACAGACAAAAAATGATGCCTTTTGGAAATTTATGTTCTCTTGTGGGAAGATAGCAAATTAAGTTTGATGAAGTGCTAAGAAGCAAAAAGGAGGGAAGGGGGAAAAGGAGTGGTTTGTGTGGTAGAGAGTACTGATTTGCATTTTTGAGTGGGATAGTCAGGAAACATCTCACCGAAAAGGGGACATTGAGAGAAGACCTGGAAAAGTCAAAGAGGCAAGCCATGTAGACGGAATGATGTAGGCAGAGAGCCACCAGTATAAGCCTCTGAGCAGGATACCCAAGGAGGAGGGCAATATCTGTAGTGCTGGAGGAGTAAGCAAGCCCAGAGAGCCACAGGACTGGGTACTGGGAGCCAAGGAAATACCTTGGAGGGTGGCACAATCTGGGTTATGTTGTAACAGATCACTGTAGCTGCGTGTGGAGAAATAAACAGTATAGCAGGGCAGAGCAAAGCAAAGAGATGAGGTAGGTGGCTGGAATCCTGGCCAGACATGATGATGGGCCTGAGCAGGGAAGGTGGTAAGACTGGATCCTATTCTAAGTCTGTTTTGACAGTGGAGCTATATAAGATTTGCTATATAAGAAAAAGGAGAAGTGCAGATAGCTCAAAGGTTTTTGTCCTAAGCTGCAAGAAAAACAAAGTGATGAGTAAGAGAAGTCAAGAAAGTAGTCAGACAATGGAATCTGGCCTTCAGAACAGGTCCAGGAGGAGATCTGGGAATAACCAGCTTAGAGGCAATAAGTAAAACTTCCAGAACACAGACCGAGAGTAGATGGCAAATTGCCAGGATTCAAATGTTGAGTTCAGGCAGGTGGGGAAATGAGAAACCAGCAAAACAGACTGAAAAACAGTGACCCAGTGGAGTTAGAGGAAAACCAGCAACAGTGGTGTCTTGGAAGTCAGAGAGCATCAGCTGGCCCAAGCCGACTTCTTCCAGGAAACAGAAACCCAACTTACTGTTTTGGGTGACAGATTCAGTGGTAATGTCAGGCACAAGTATAAAAATTATCAAATACTAATCCGATGTTAGAGTAAGTGAACATCAGTTGAATATTTGAAAACTAAGCACAATACTATTTAGAAAAACTGAATTTCAATATGAAGTGTATGTAAAATCTCCATATTCATTATCTGTGATTCAAGAATCATCAATTTCCTAATATTTCAGACTCAAATTAAATATGAATAAATTTAGACAGAAAAAAGTGCTTTTCTCTTTTCTTCTGCTTGTGTGTCTTTGTAAAAGATAGTAGATAGTTGTACTTTGGTTTTGTAACAAGGTTTTCCCACTGATGCTTAGATTGTCCTGGCAACTGAGAATATTGAAACTTTTAATTTCTTTTATTCATATGTGCATAAAATGGTTAGGTCATTATCCCCCCTTCCCTCAGCCCCTTCTGTTCCCCCCCACCCCCTCCCTTTCCCCCCCACCCCCTCGCTTCCAGGCAGAAACTGTTTTGCCCTTATCTCTAATTTTATTGAAGAGAGAGAATAAACATTAATAAGGAGGACCAGGGGTTTTTGCTAGTTGAGGTAAGGATAGCTATACAGGGAGATTCCTAGCATTGCTTCCATGTACATATGTGTTACTTTCTAAATTGATTCTTTTCAAACTAACCTTTTCTCTAGAAACTTTTGATTTTATGATGAAGTTTGAGTGATAGCTGACATACAGAAGTTTATTGGAAGAGAGCAATAATTATGTTTTTTATGAGATATTTTGATGTAATTGAAAAGGAGTTTTATTCAGGATAAAAATGTCTATTCTATTTATAGGTTTCTGAAGGATTGTCATTTTTACATAGCAGTGTCAAAATGGTTCATGGAAATATTACTCCTGAAAATATAATTTTGAATAAAAGCGGAGCCTGGAAAATAATGGGCTTTGATTTTAGTGTGTCATCAGCCAATCCTTCTGAACAAGAGGTAATGAAGGTTTTATATAGTCTTTCAGTTTTTTAAAGTCATGAAATTTATGATTACGTCTAGACTGGAGTAGAAAATTTAATATAATCCTGATAAATGTGTGTACTATTAAGTGTACAGCTTTACAGAAAATTACCAGTGTTCTTTGCACCTAAAAGTATTCTTCAGCTTGTTAATTCCCTAGAGGTTAATGTTCCTTGAGAAAAGAATGCTAGAGCTTAAAATAAATCTGAGAAATATTGATTTAAATAGGTTTTTTTTTTTTTTTTTTCTCAGACCGCTAGCATGAATTTCTAGCAGTGTTTCTGCAGCTGGACCATGGGCTCTTCTTTACGGAGCATATAGCAGCAATGATGATGATGACAGTAGCTGACATTGATTGAAGCCTTTTCTAAACGCTGTTTTTGTATTTACTTGTTTAAGTTTCACAGCAACTCAGTGGGGTATAGGAACAATACAGATGAGTAAATTAGGCATACAGAATAAAATAACACGCCTCTAAATTTAGGCGTTTGCTTAGCAATTTAGGCAGTTGCTAAGTGGTGGAAGGGGAATTTGAGCTCAGTCTTTCCACAGCACTGGTTTCTTGGTGTTTGGCATACTTGTCTATTCATACTATTCATCAATTATGTTGTGTGTTGATTGGTTCCTGATGGCCTAGATGACCTTTTATGATAAGACACCTGTTATATTTCAGGTGTTTACTATACATTGTTAAGGGATCATAATGTGATCTAAGATAGATTTTTTAATTTGAACAGTCATTGTTAAGGAAATCAGAAAGAATTGGTATTGGTTTAGTACATACATTGGTCAAGCACTGTGCTACCTCTGACTTCCATATTTTTAAAAAATCTTATAAACCTAGTTAGTGAAAGAACAGGTTTCGGACAACATTCTCTATCTGAGCCCATAAAACTTAAAACCAAACGTGAGGCAGACCTTCTCATGTTCATACTGCATTTTGTACTGAGAATGTATCTTTTGGAATAGACTCCAGTAGTCCCAGAGTTATAAGAGTTCTTATGTCTCAATTTGCTGCATGTAATTTCCACATTTGGGAATTTAGATTTGAAAGTGGTAATGCCATTTTTATTTGTGTGAGTTAATATGAATTTAAAGGTAGATTGCTACAGCTTGATAATACTTAACTTGTGTCATCCTTTTCTATCTTATTGCAGCCTAAGTTTCCTTGTAAAGAGTGGGACCCAAATTTACCATCATTATGTCTTCCAAATCCTGAATATTTGGCTCCTGAATATATACTTTCTGTGAGCTGTGAAACGGCCAGTGATATGTATTCTTTAGGAACTGTTATATATGCTGTATTCAATAAAGGGAAACCTATATTTGAAGTCAACAAGCAAGATATTTATAAGAGTTTCAGTAGGCAGTTGGATCAGGTATTTGCCTATTGATATTTGCTTGCATTAAAAACTTATTAAACATTTTGATTTTTTTTCTAAAATGTCAGAAAATTCTTGAGATGAGTTCCTCACTTCAAGTTTTCATAAAATCAGTTTAATGAAAGTAATTTCTATAAATAATGAAGACTAAAGTCCATTACTACAGTTTTAATCATGGCATTTACTAGAGTGAGCATTGAAATGTGGGCTATAATACTGAGCACTTTATTTTAGGAATGGAAACAACTTCAGGTATTAAAGATAAGTGGTTAAAAGTATCCTGAAACAGGAGAATTAGCAATTTGTTCAGTCTACAAATATGCTGAAATTTAAAAATGATTTAGTTATTTTAATAAAAGCATATCTTTTGAATATTTTATATTCATATTTAATGTTTTTACTCTTTTGAATAGTTGAGTCGTTTAGGATCTAGTTCACTTACAAATATACCTGAGGAAGTCCGTGAACATGTGAAACTGCTGTTAAATGTAACTCCAACTGTAAGACCTGATGCAGATCAAATGACAAAGGTGAGTGCAACCTGGATTTCTGCATTAGGTGGAGGGATAAAAATAGATGAAGTTCTTTTTTTTAGTTGTACTGAAAATTGAACTCAGGGCTTCACACTTGCTAGGTAGGTGCTTTCCTATGTGAGCCACACCTTCACTCTGATGAAGTTCTTCTAAAGCAATTTAGTCCCTAGATGATATATGTGTTCTTGAATTTATTAAATATTCAACTTGTTTTAATCTTAAATAGCTAAATAACATACATAATTGCTGTGATAAGAAATTAAGATTTCAAATAAACAGACTTGTAACAGTTACAATTTGGTATGTAAACATTCCAGACACTCACTGAAGTTATAGCCCTAAATTGTGACTCATGGATTTTAATAAATGGTACTCTTTATGCCTTCAAGATACTTTACTTAATCTTTCAATATTTTAGAGTTATATTTAAAAATGTTATTGCCCAGCCAACTCATAGGTAACTGATTCTGGAGATGTGAATTTGAAAATAAAAGAATTTATTTTCTTATTCTGATTTTTATAATTATATCTTCCATTAAAATGGGCTTTAGTATTTTTCTTAACGTTTCTGAGTATTTTTTCACTATATTGTAGCAGTTTCTATTATGAGAAGTACCTTCAACTTAATATTTATTGAAATAATTTATTTTCATATTTTTAGATTCCTTTCTTTGATGATGTTGGTGCAGTAACACTTCAGTATTTTGATACTTTGTTCCAAAGAGATAATCTTCAGAAATCACAGTTTTTCAAAGGACTGCCAAAGGTTCTACCAAAACTGCCCAAGGTTTGTTGTTGGTTTTTTAACTTTAAGTTTACTTTGACTTAACTATAGTAACTCTTCAAAAGAAATAATACATCTTTTGTCTTGGGTACATAAATGGCTATAAAATGTTGCATACTGAAGCCAAATGTTTAGTTAGGGTCCAAAAATAAATAAGATTTAAAGAATTACAAGGATGCTACTACCTACCCATGTCAAGTCAGCAGTTGGACATGAAATGTCAGAGAGATGTCCATAAACATCTCTGTTACTTCTGTTTTGATGCTGGTTCCAAATTCCTTTTACTCTCTGACCATGAGTGTAAAATAGTCTGAAAAGTACTGGTGAGCTGAGTGTGCACATGGCTCATGCTTGTAACCCTAGCTACTCAGGAGGATTGTGGTTCTAAGTCAGCCCAGGCAAATGGAGACCCTATCTCAAAAAAATCCATCACAGAAAAGACCTGGTGGAGTGGCTCAAGGTCTAGGCCCTAGGTTTATACCCCATTACTGCAAACACACACACACACACACACACACACACACACACACACACCACACCCCCCCCCCCCGCCCCGAGGAAGCCACTGTTTGTAAAAGTAGTAATTCTTGTTTTGCAATGTTTCCAGTGCTTAATCTTTCACATAGCCATTGGTGACTTATTGTTTGTCTAGTCCTTTACTTAAATGGTATGGAGAGTAAAGATGGAGCACAGATATTGTCCCTGCTCCCAAGCCATCACAGTAGATGTAGGTAAGGTTAGCATGTGTGAAACAGCACAGTGCAGGACAATGTTTTAAGTTGTGTGCTGTGAATCCTAAGGAAGGGAGGAAGTTGTCCCCTTTGAACCATGACATTTCCCAGCAGATGCTGTTTGTCTTAGCATAATTAACAATAGCATCCAGTTTTTAAAAATCTTTTCCAGTTTCAACCAGAAATAACATGGTCATCTTACCTAAAAGGATTAGAGCCTTTTCACTTCAGTGCTCGTACTAAAGACCCAAGTAAATTTTGGACCTAAAAGGATTGTTGGCTTTTCACTTCAATGTTAATACTAAATACCTAAATAAATTTTGGTTTGATAAAAACATTTTTGCCTTTCAGCGTGTCATCGTGCAGAGAATTTTGCCTTGTTTGACTTCAGAATTTGTAAACCCTGATATGGTACCTTTTGTTTTGCCCAACGTTTTACTGATTGCTGAAGAATGCACCAAAGAAGAATATGTCAAATTAATTCTACCTGAACTTGGTCCTGTATTAAACAGCAGGAGCCAATCCAGGTATGTTGTAGATATTTTGCATATTTTAATACTGTTATTCATGATTAATTACCACCACTGAAAACGAAAAAAGTGAACACATAAGTTTTTAAAAATTGCAGTAAGTATATGAGTCTTTCAGTAGACAGAAAGCTATTTTGCCTATGTTTGAGCCATTCCTATAATTACAGTTAAACTTGCAGGTGAGTGTCTATTGACTTTCCCTAAGTTACTATCTCAGAAAGTAAATTGTAATGAAAGTTTGCATTGTTATACGGATCCCAGTTGACTTTATTGAAAATTGCAATTTGGAGAAAATACTAATTTTTCTCCTATACTTTTAAATATATTTGTTTTATTATTCCATTCTTTAACTTGTAGATGATTTATGCCAGTTTCTCTTTATTTACTTGGTAATTTGGTACTTTCACTAAAAAGAGGAAAATGGATAGAGCTCTATGGAATAATGTGTAATGTATGTAAAAGAAAATTAGTTTGATGTAGACTCTATTAAAATATTATTTGCCAGATTTGAGGTCCTCTTGAAATTAAGAGCAGTGGATTGGAACCTGAGGCTTCTTTTGTGTCTCCTAAAACCATGACTAGGGTTTGCCCATTAGCTGCCATCTTAAGGCTTCCACTTCCTCCTTTCTAAAATGAAAGGAGTCACTGAGATGAACTGAGATTTTGTGGCACATAGTAAGTATTATATGTGTTTTCTGCCTCTGTTTGGCAATAGTTTATTAGTCACCTATCAACTATGGGGTGTGATGGTTTTATGACTTTGTGGTTCCCTTAAAAAGAGGGGATGTGGAAGGTACATAGTAAGAGTTCCTATGGATTAGGGGAAGAGCAAGGGAGGGAGCCATAAGCTTTGGAGCAGTAGAGAGGGAAAGTTGGTAGTCACATGTTCCCTAAGCTACCAGTCTGTCAACATAGTATCTTAAGATACCTATAACCTGAATTCTTATTTGCCCCCATTCTTTGGTACTCTCTTTTCCCCCTCCGTATTCCAGTTAAAAATTCCTCTCGAAAATTTTAACTGAGCCTTGGCAAAAGTAAGTATTCTGCATGAATAGAAGGAGGTTCCTTATAATTTAGGTATGTGGAGGTAGTTAGGTGGAAAAAAGAAGAAAGGAAAAGGGTCAGGGTCAATTAAAAATACTTCTTTTGCCAGGCACCGGTGGCTCACACCTCTAATCCTAGCTACTTGGGAGGTAGAGATCAAGACGATCATGGTTCAAGGCCAGCCTGGGCAAAAAGTTTGCAAGACTCTATCTCAAAAATGCCCAACACAAAAATACACTGGTGGAGTGGCTCAAATCATAGACCAAATATGAGGCCTGAGTTCAAATTCCAGCACCACCAAAAAAATGCCTCTGTCTAGAATTTTTCCATACAGATGTTTTCATTTCTTGTACCCTCTTTCATCAGCTATGAAATTTACTGCTTCTGGACATCATTTGCTGCCCTTGGGCTGTATTAATTAATTAATTTATTATTTTACCCAGTAAATTTTGGGCTTTATTTATTTATTTTTAACCAGTAGCTTTCTAGATGGTACTTATTACAGTATATATGTAAGAGTTAGGAAATTAGTCTTTTTTTAAATGATTAAACTGAGAGCAGATGTTAAACGGTATACTTGCAGAAATGTAAGAGACTTAATTTGTATGTTTTTGTCTTCCATGCCTTCAGGCTAGCAACATGGTGAGTGTCAAAATATATGACTCATTCTTTTGAAAAAACTTTAAATTTTGGCATACATTGAATCTCTCAAAGATTCTAGACTTTCATACATATTTTCCCTTTTTCTAAACAGATTTTGTTAATTTTTCTACAAAAAATGGATTTGCTACTAACCAAAACCCCTCCTGATGAGATAAAGAATAGTGTCCTGCCAATGGTTTACAGAGCACTAGAAGCTCCTTCCATTCAGATCCAGGTACAGTATTTGATTTGTTTTTCTTTAATGATGATTCTGATTCTAAAAGCAGAAGAAACAAGTGAGTGTATTTTAGGATTAAGTCACAAAGTTTTATATAGAACAGTAGTAAATATATTTATCTATTGAATTACACTATTGATATACTCTTATTAAAATGTATATACTCCTAACTAAAGAATCAGTTGATGAATAAATATCTGTGTCACAAAGAAGACTGTTGATTTTATCAAAACTGTATGTTACAGAAGAAAGTTTTATTTATTGTAGCTTGAATTATTGTATACCTTCATTTTGCTTCTCTCTAAATGGGTAATTATAAATGAAAATGAAGAAAGGTTATGTGTCTTTTTCTTATGAAAACATGAGATATTTCCATACTGCTAATTTTCTTTCATGTTGGTAACTCAACTTTCTATTTAGAAAGCTGTTACTTCTGTGTGAAGGTAGTTTGTATGGCAAGGAGATGAATAAGCAAGTAGTAATTTAGACTGTTCTTAGTTCATTTATAGTCATGGCTTTTGTCCCACAAGAACAATCTTAAAACAGCATGTGCTTGACAAGCTTAGTTCTGTAGTCTTTGTTATTATTAAAATTTTGGTTCTTTGGGCTCTCTAGCTGGAAAAACATTCTGGATTGTTATTAAAAATGTGATTTTATTTTATTTTTTTTTCCACTTTGGAAAATACATACTTAGATTAAGAACATCTTAGTGCACAGATAGTTTCATATTTAAAGGTCATGGTCTTTGACAATGAAGGAATTTTAATAAAGAATTTTAATTTTTTAAGAGTAATTTACGAAATTTCTCTTTTTGGAGACAAGGTCTTGCTGTGCAGCTCAGGCTGGCCTTGAACTCAAGATCTTCCTGTTGCAGTCTCCCAAGTGCAGGGATTATAGACATGTACCACTATGCCTGGTCTAGTTTTTCTTCGTATGAACGTAACATGACATTTCACATTACTTTTTTGACTCATTGCAGTCTTTGTCTACTAAGGGTAAGAGGTTTATGTTAGTTTTTTCCTCTTATGATTAGATCATGAGATGAATAGAGGAGGTATAGTTACCTCTACGTTTTAGCTCTTTCTAAATGAGCTGTAGCCAGGTGTACTGTTGCACACCTGTAATCCCAGCACTTGGGAGGCTAAGGCTGGAGGAGTTTGAGTTCCAGGCCAGCTAGGGCTAGATAGCAAGACCCTGTCTCAAGGGAAAAAAAGAAGTTGTGATTATGAACACTTGAAGCACTATCATAGGCCCTGTACAGCCAAACTATTTTTAAAGTTATCATAATTATTCTTTTTTCAAAGAATTGTTGAAAGGACCAAATAATATAATGTACTATAATATGAAAGTTTATTTCAAACTGTATAACAAATTAGCCATGCAGAGGCCAAATGGCTTTGAATTTGTTAGAAATTCCTAGGATTGATGAGTTTTATTTTCTTAATAGGAGCTCTGTCTAAACATCATTCCAACCTTTGCAAATCTTATAGACTACCCATCCATGAAAAATTCTTTGATACCAAGAATTAAAAATGCCTGTCTGCAAACGTCTTCCCTTGCTGTAAGTAATTGTGCATTAATACTTGTTTTCTTTCTTTCACTTCTCAGTAAATTATTTCCTTATTGTTTAATAACCCTATTATAGTTTGTTCATGTAATTTGTCTTGGCTATAGATTGCCTATATATATAGTAGTATAAAAGTGAGCCAAGGTTTTTTTTTTCTGATATATAATTTATAATATTGGGTCCCTCATTTTACTTCGTGTGTGTGTGTGTGTGTGTGTGTGTGTGTGTGTGTGTGTAAAGTGGGAGAGTTTATTGACATAGAAAAGTAGCAAAGAGAAGAGCTCCCAGAGCTGGGAGGGATCCCAAGAGAGGGTGCCCACTTCCTGTTTCTTGACTTTGAATGCTTCAGTAGAAAACTTGATTGCTTTTTTCTTAATTCTTTTTTGCTTTAACTTACAAGTTACTTTGTTATTAGTTTTAAAATAATCATGAAGTTTAACTTAGTGTATAAACCTAAAAACTTTCTTGAAAGACTTCCTTTTATAAATTGCCTTTATTTTTAGTTGATGCCTCTGGATTCTTATTTAACTTGCCCACTCAGTAAAATAAAGTACAATAAAACAGCATATTGGTGGTTGGTGTGGGCACAAGTGAGGGAAGTAATTGTGTTTAAAGGAGTTGCTGTCTGTTTTTTTTTTTTTTTTTTTTTTTTGGTGGTGTTGGGGTTTGAACTCAAGGCTTTGTGCTTACAAGGCAGGCCTTGCTTCTACCACTCCAGCCCAGTAGTTGCTTTCTTTGACTGTAACACTAAATTATTCATTAGTCAAAGAAGTTAGAATAAATTAGAGTTTTCATCATCTTGTATCAAGAGCAGTAAACATGTTTTTCTCTAACAATAAATAGAAGAATTTACCACATTGTTTTTTTTTTTTTTAATAGAAGTGAGAGGTGGGGATATAGCTCAGGGGTAGAGCACTTACTTACCCAGTATTTGTGAGGCCCTCGGTTCCATCTCCAGCACTGCCAAAAAATTTAAAAAAAGAAAGAATACTGAATTCTCTCTTAAAATAAATAGCTTTAGAAAAGACTGAGAAATACCTTCCTTTGCCTGACTACTCATTGATGTTTGATAATGGGAATATTATCAAATTTGCATTTTCTAAAGCTTGTTGTTTGGAATTCCCATCCATCTTTATCTGGTGGAATGTGAGTTTAAATTTAAAAAAATAAAAGCTTAATAGAATTATAGGCAAAAGCAATGTAATAAATGACATGATTTTACTTAATAGCTGTCTAATCCATTTCAGGTCATGTTTCTTGGCAGAAAGGCTCTGAGAGTAGGAAAGAAGCTGCAAAAAAAAAAAAAATACTGAATTCTCTCTTAAAATAAATAGCTTTAGAAAAGACTGAGAAATACCTTCCTTTGGAATGAAGTGAGGACAAGAACGCTGAATTCTTTTTTCTCTAGGACTGGGGTTTGAAATCAGGGTTTCATGCTTAGAAAGCAAGCACTCTACCGCCTGAGCCACACCTCCAGTCTAGTTTGTACTACTGGTTATTTTGGAGATGGGGTCTCATGAACTGTTTGCCTGGACTGGCATCTCAGGTAGCCTCCCAAGTAGCTAGGGTTACTGATGACCTGAATAAATGCCTACTAATGTTTATATCTTTTAAAGATGCTAACTAGTAAGTAAAGGATCATCTTGTGGAGCAAAGTAATCAGCTTCAGAAAGATAAATGTCTCATGTTCTCTCTCATATGAGGAAGCTACACCTAAAAGATAAACATATACATAAATACTCCCATGATCATATATCCATATATTTAGAGAAAAATGTTTGTAATAGTGGTTCTGTTTGATAATAGTAGGGAGAGATGGGAACTGAAAAGGACAGAGAGTGACTAATGTCAAAATACATTGTATCTGTGTATGAAAATAGTATAATAAAACACTGAAAGCTGTTGAAAATGAGGCAGGGGAGGAAAGGCAAAGAGAGTAATAGAGAGGGTTAATCTGATTAGAGTAAAATATATTCATGTGTGAAATACCACAGCAAATCCCCTTTGAACAATGAATACACACACACACACACACACACACACACACAAATGTGTGTCAGGAAGGTCAGGAATGTAAAACATGTCGTGTTTGAGGGCAGATGCTGGTAGGGGGTGAAGGAGGTGAATATGGTAGATGTACTTTATATACTTGTTTGAGAATTGAACAATGAAACTGGTTGAAATTGTTTTAAGAAGGCAGGGAGGGAGATGAGGGAAAATGATGGGGGTGAGTCTAACCAAGGTATGTTATAAGCATATATGGAAATGTCACTGTGAAACCTTCCTATACATGTAATATATGCTAACAAAAAGGTTTTTTTTTTTTTTTTTGGTGGTACTGGGGCTGGAACTCAGGGCCTCACACTTGCTGAGCTTGCTAGCACACACTCTTATTACTTGAGCCACTTTGCCATTCCGAACTTTTTCTTTCTTTTTTGGTGGGACAACGGTTTGAACTCAGGTCTTTGTGCTTGCAAAGCAGGCGCTCTACTGCTTGAGCCATCCCTCCAGTCCAGACGTTTTTTTAAAATGCTAAGTGGCTATTAAAGACACGGTATTTACAAAGGAGTTATAATGAATGTATTTAGAACAGCATTTTTGGAATAGATTTGCATTTTACATTTCACTTTTTAAATGTATTTTAGATTACACTTTTAGTGTTCCTACCTACCTTCAGAGTGGCAAGTATGAATTTATGAATTGCACTCAGACCTATTCTCTAAAATTGAAAAATTCAAACTAGGAAATTCTGAAAAAAATATAGTCATGAATAGAATTAGATCTTAATTTTGGTCCCTGAAAATGAAGAAAAACAAATTTTACACAGAGTTAGGTAAAATACTTTAAGAACTGTATTTATTCATGACTTATATGATGAATATTTTCTGCATCGTTAAAGAAAATAAAATTAAGCCAGTATTTTCATTTCTTGTATACATTCCAATAAATGCAGCAGTTCTTTTTTTTTGGCGGTAGGGGGTAGTACTTGTGTTTGAACTCAGGGCCTCATGTCTGCTAGGCAGGTGCTTTATCATTTGAGCCACTCTGCTAGCCCTATAGCAATTCTTTTAATAAAACTGATTCTGAGAATAAGTTAAGTCTCAGATATCATCTTGAATTTGTACTATTCCTCATTTGAATTTCAGAAAATAATTATTATTTTTCGTAAATGAAAATCTTTTATTTTTCTATGATTTTAACCATCCAAATTATTTTCTAATGTTCTTATTTTTTAAAAAATTAGTTTTATTTATCTTATGGTACTGACTTAAAGATACTTTATCTTAACAAAATCCAGGTGAAAAGTAGGGTGTAACATTTATAAAAATTGACTGGTGTTCTTTAGAGTCCCCATCCACCTCTGTCTATTGAATGTGAATTTAAATAAAAGTAAACATTAGGCTGGAGGTGTAGCTCAAACAGTAGAGCACCTGCCCAGCAAATGCAAAACCCTGAGTTCAAACCCCAGTAACACACAAAAAACAAAACAAAATAAACATTAGTGATAGTGTACTTAGTGCATTCAGTGTACTTAATAGAACTTAATTTTGTGACTATATTAATATTAGTAGTTTAATACAGTTACTAAAACCTGACATTTGGAAGGTTTTAATAATTAAGGATATATTTAGAAATAGAAAATTTTATGTAAGGCATATATGGATAACTTCAGATGTTGTTAAAATGTTTAGTTTAGGAATGAATTGAACCAATTTAAATACCGGAATCCCTGTAGAATTAATCACATGATGTAGAGAAAGTATTCCTTTGTATAATTCAAATGTTCATGAAGAAATGTTTTTAGTAAGTACCTATATTGTAAAAGCCTCTTAAATCCTAATCACTTTACTTAAAATATTACAAAATTGTACAGGTGGGGATATTGCTTAGCAATAGAGCGCTTGCCTAGGATGCACAAGGATCTGGGTTCAATCCCCAGCACCACCCACTTTCTCCCAAAAAGTTTTATTCTTTTGGGGCAGGGGTTGTAGCTCAGTGATAGAGTGCTCAGTTAGCTTTTGCAAGGCCTTGGCTTTGATCCCCAGCATACGTAAATAAATCTAAGTCATTCCTTCAGCTCACTAGTATCTTGGTGAAGCAATCATAAATCCTTTCTGAAACAAGTCAAGAAAATTAAGTGAATTCTTTTTTTTATTATAATGACATTTTTTTTTTTTTTTGAGGGCACTGGGCCTCCTGCTTGCTGGGCAGGTGCTCTACCACTTGAACCTCTGCCAGCTCTTAATGACTTTCTTTTTTTGATGGCACTAGGGATTGAACTGAAGGCCTTTTTGTACTTGCTGGGTAAGCACTCTAACACTTGAGCCACACTCCCAGTCCAATAAGTGCATTTCTTATGTTAATAAAATATGGCTTCAAAACCTACTTTTTGTTCTTGAGATTTTACTGTATATCTATGTGAAGATTAAATTTACACTTGAGTATTTGTTCTTGATTACATGACAAATTTAATTTATCTCTTTTAATAGGTTCGTGTGAATTCATTAGTGTGTTTGGGAAAGATTTTGGAATACTTGGATAAGTGGTTTGTACTTGATGATATCCTACCCTTCTTACAACAAATTCCATCCAAGGAACCTGCAGTCCTCATGGGAATTTTAGGTATCTAAAACTTAATATCATTTGATACTACTTTATTGTTTTATAGTTACACAAATGTATTTTCCAATCTATGAAGTCATTGTACTTTATTTTCGTGTACTTAGCATTCATTTATTGAAGAATGATGGGATAAATGCCATAATACAACATTTCTCTTTGTGTTGACTTTAGCAAAAACAGTAGAGTCTTGACATTTATACAGCAATAAGATATTTGAGAACCCTAGCTTCCAAGATATGATAGCCTATAGTTTTCCCCATTATATGGGACAAAGTAAGAGAGGCAAACAAAGCTACATGTTGAGTTTTACTTGCTGAGTAAGTGAGAGTAAGTGTAGATCTTATACTTTTACTGTACCTGTACTTACATGTTTTGAAACAAAAGCTTCAAGTTGAAGTGTAAGGTCTGAAATAGATGTTTCCAGGAATAGAGGGCACATGCTGTAACTTTATTGCTACTATAATAATAATATCCCATTAATGTGCTATCCTTAAATGTGCTTTTAAAAGAATATAGGATAAATATGTAATGGTGCTTAATAAATTTGGATTGATGATGATAAGGCTAAAAATCTTCAGACACATCTGTAAGTGCCTTCTCATTCTAAGGCGCTGACTGGGAAAAATTTGTACTACACCTGTTCACCAAAAGATTTCATCTTGGTTTACTGTTTTCATGGTCTCTTTAATTTATGGTGTGAACTTTTCTATCAGGTATTTACAAATGTACTTTTACCCATAAGAAGTTGGGGATCACCAAAGAGCAACTGGCTGGAAAAGTTCTGCCTCACCTCATTCCCTTGAGTATTGAAAACAATCTTAATCTCAATCAGGTAGGGATATTTTTGCATTTATTCACTTTATTCAGTTTATTGTTTTATATGTGTGTGTGTGTGTGTGTGTCTGTATGTATATCTATATTACATATAAAGATTGCTGAAACAAGGGGGACATGCCAAAGAATTAAATGAAGAGAGTTTATGGGATTGAGGGATAGATTATTAAAGGCCTCATTGGGAGGTAGGAAATGAGGATGTTGGAAGATGTGTAGGATTTAGATCTCTTTTTTTTGAGGGGTGGAACTGGGGTTTGAATTCCGGGTCTTGCACTTGCTAGGTAGATGCTTTACCACTTGAGCCACTCCTCCAACCTGGACTTAGGACTACTTTAAATTTGGAGCTGGCACCCCTGTTAGAATAGCCATCATCAGCAACACCACCAACAACAGGTGTTGGCGAGGATGCGGGGGAAAAAGGAACCCTCTTACACTGTTGGTGGGAATGTAGACTAGTACAACCACTCTGGAAAAAAATTTGGAGGCTACTTAAAAAGGTAGACATAGATCTACCATTTGATCCAGTAATACCACTCTTGGGGATATACCCAAAAGACTGTTACTCCAGAGGCACCTGCACACCCATGTTTATTGCGGCACTATTCACAATAGCCAAGTTATGGAAACAGCCAAGATGCCCCAGCACTGACGAATGGATTAAGAAAATGTGGTATCTATACACAATGGAATTCTATGCAGCCATGAAGAAGAACGAAATGTTATCATTCGCTGGTAAATGGATGGAATTGGAGAACATCATTTTGAGTGAGGTTAGCCTGGCCCAAAAGACCAAAAATCGTATGTTCTCCCTCATATGTGGACATTAGATCAAGGGTAAACACAACAAGGGGATTGGACTATGAGCACATGATAAAAGCGAGAGCACACAAGGGAGGGGTGAGGATAGGTAAGACACCTAAAAAATTAGCTAGCATTTGTTGCCCTCAACGCAGAGAAACTAAAGCAGATACCTTAAAAGCAACTGAGGCCAATAGGAAAAGGGGAACAGGTACTAGAGAAAAGGTTAGTTCAAGAAGAATTAACCTAGAAGGTAACACCCACGCACAGGAAATCAATGTGAGTCAATGCCCTGTATAGCTATCCTTATCTCAACCAGCAAAACCCCTTGTTCCTTCCTATTATTGCTTATACTCTCTCTACAACAAAATTAGAAATAAGGGCAAAATAGTTTCTGCTGGGTATTGGGGCGGGGGAGAGGGAGGGGATGGAGTGGGTGGTAAGGGAGGGGGTGGGGGCAGGGGGAAGAAATGAATCAAGCCTTGTATGCACATATGAATAATAAAAGAAAAAGGAAAAAAAAAATAATTTGGAGCTGGGAACTTGAGATGAACAAAAAACAGTCGCAGGGGGGAGAAAATGGCCCAAACAATGTATGCACATATGAATAAATGAATAAAAATTAAAAAAGAACAAAGTCATAAGATACATTTGTATTTGTTATTTATTACTACATAAGAAATCACCACAAGTTTAGAGTTTGTAGTGTTTTAAGGTAGCACACATTTATTATGTCACAGTTTCTGTGGGTTAGCCAAGACTGGCCTGGCTTAGCTGGATTTGCTGAGAGTTTCTCATAGTGCTGCAATTGAGAACTTGGGACTTGTCTGAAGACGTGTTTCTGAGCTCTCTTAAATGGTTGTTGGTAGGATTCAGACAGCGGTCTCAGACCTGGCTAGATGCTACTTTCATTTCTGTGTCACATGAGTCTTTGTAGTATGGCAGCTTGTTTCATCAAAGCCAGCAAGAGAGAGTTGTGCTAGCAAGACTGAAGGAAGTTACAGTGTCTTGTATTGTAATCAAAGAAGTGATATCAAATGACCTTTGTCATACTTTGTTGCTTAGAAGCAGGTCACAGGTCCTATCCATACTCAAAGGTAGGGATTACACAAGGAAAGGACATAAATAGCAGGAGGAGATAATTAGGGGTCATTGAACTTGATAGGTAGGGAAATAATGGAATAAAATGAAGTTTGACCAGAGTAGGTAGACTTTCAGTTCCTATCTGGTTTATGTATTGAATTTTCAAGATGTGGTAAATGTTTTAGCAAAGGGGTAATGTGTGTTCAAAAATTATTACAGAATTCTCTCTGCATACCTGGCTTGCTGTAGTTATCATAGCTTTGTGTTATAGTGACTCTTCTTGAAATTATAGACTCTTTAAAGGATGGTTACTATAGTTTATTCCTCATTATAGCACCAGCCCTGTTATAGTGCCAGAAATGAAATTGAATTGAGAGAAAACTTGAGGTATAGAGTAACAGCAAGCCATTTTTCTTTTCTACAATAGGACTGTTTAATGAAATATAATGTAAAAGACTGAGAAGAGTTACTGGGTAGTCAGGGAATATTTAGAATTAAGGACTGAAAAGTGAATTACAGCAATGAAGGAAGTGGAAAGTTGGAGGTAAAGCAAGAGAGCCTTTGGTATTATAGAAAGCCCTGAGTGAGCAGAGTTTTGGAAGTAGAGAAATTTATAAAGTTAATTAGGCTGACTTGTGAAAGTTTGTTCCTATAAAAAGGGGGTGGGGGAAGAAGGCTAAGAAAGAATAATAAAGGAGGTGAATTTGATCAAAGTACATTATATGCATGTATAGAAACCCCTTTGTACTGTCAATTTATGCTAATAAAAAATAATAAATAAGAAAGGCCAGGTGCCGGTTGCTCATGCCTGTAATCCTAGCTACTCAGGAAGCACAGATCAGGAGGATAGCAGTTCAAAGTCAGACTGGGCAAATACTTTGTGAGATCCTTCCTTAAAAAAAAAACTCATCACAAAAAAAAAAAAAAAAAGGCTTGGAGTGGCTCAAGGTGTAGGCCCTGAGTTCAAACCCCAGTACTGCAAAAAAAAAAGAATGTTTGTCTTTAGAGTTGATACTCTGTATCATGGGTAGTGAGGGCTAGGGTTAGGGTAATGGGAGATAGTGAATATTGAGAAGGAATAAGACAGTACACCTAAAACAGCCTCAACCTTACGTCGTGTGTGTTCTTAGTTCTCGTATTTCTCATTTAAGATGTTTTAAAACATCACTGTATGCTTATTTTAGAATATATAATTCCATTTGAAATGTGTCTTCATCAGCTTTATGATTTTTTAGAGCCTGTTTTCATTTGCAGAAATACTTTGAGTTGCATTTTCTGGTATTTTATATTCGTTTAGCATGGGTATGGTCTGCTTTCTATTCATTTCATGATTAAAGGTCCTAAATCAGGACTGCCCTTTTCTGTTAGTTGTGATTTAAGATAATCTAAGTATATTATACATTAAATGAAAAAGATAAAAGTAATTTAGGAAAAACACATTTTTTTTTTGCATTTGATTTTAAAACAGCAAATACCATCCAGCAATCAATCACACTGAATAGTTTATTATACGTTTGGAGAGGGTTTCTAGGACTCCCCCCTCTCCAGAATAGATAATTTAGTAGGACACACATGTAGTTGTACTCACAAGCTATGATTTATTATAGTGAAAGGATACAGAAAAAAGTTGGGGAAGGGGAAAGATTCATAGGATCAATTCCAGGGGAAGCAGGATGTGCTCAGCTCTCCTAGTAATGACTTGTGACAGTCCATGTGAAATGTTGCCAGCCATGAAAACTCAGCACTCAGAGTTTTTATTCAGAGCTGATCAAGTAGTACCCTATGCCAGGTATGTTCTCAATTTCCAGATTCCCAGAAGGAAAAGTACATGTTAGAACATACTCTTTGTGCAAGTAGTTGAGACACAACAAGCCACTACTACCAGTTAATAATGGGAACCTTCTTAAAATCTAAGTTCTCAAACACCAGCCAAAGGCAACCTTTGCCAGTACACCTTTCCAAAAATAGCAGTTCAGGCCTATGCGCTCTTTTGTGCACAAGCTACATGCAACAGTACAAATGAATTTCACAAACATAATATTGAGCAAATGAACCCAGACATAGAAGAGGATCTTCTGAATGATTCCACTTATGTAAAGTACAAAAGCAGTCTAAACTAATTTTTGCTGCTAGAAGTCTGAATATCTACGTGGTGTGGGGTTGGAAAATGACTAGAAGAGGGCACACTTGGCTGAATTACATTGAGTATGTTCAGTCTGAACTTTTTGAGCTGTGCACTTAATAGTTTTCTGTTAGTGTATTATGCTTCTTAAAAAAACTTTTAAAAATCTAATCAGAAAGTTAGTCATAGGTAAACTGCTAAAGAAATAACATCTTTTGTCATTTCATGATAAGATGAAGAATACTGATAAGAGCATTTTGAGGCAGTGTAATGTAGTAAAAAGCCCAAGCTTTGGAGACAGTGTGAATTTTAACTGCCATATGAGCTATTTAGTGTCTGTGAGTGAGTTGTTTCATCTTGCACTGATCCCGTGTGTCCTCATTTGTAAAACAGAAGTACTGATATTTAGTTTGGAAGAGTTGTGATGATTAATAAAATGGTATATGTATAAGCACTCAGTACAGAGATAATAGTTACAAGATTTGGGGAGGGAGGGAAGCAGTTTCTTGATTCTTCCTATATTACTATAGTGTCATGAAAATAAATTTTCATGAGTACCATAAGAATTATTACCAGTTAACCAAAGTTAAACTACATCAAAATATAGTTTTATATTTTATGATCTTTAATTATCAGAAAGTTGGATGATGAACATTTATTATTTCTACTAACTTCTCCTAAAACAAGGTTAGCCAAACATGACATTTTTATAATAGCCTGGATAAGTAGGAATTTTCAATGTATTAGTAAGTGAACTGTTTCCTGTTAGGCACAGATTATCAATGTATAACTGCCAGAATGTAACTTACTTAAGACTTGAATAATAGCCATTAGATAACTCAGGCTATAAAACTCATTAAGACTGTTTTCTGGCACTTAAAAGCCTCATCAATTGTCATGTCTCTACCATACAAAGGCTATACAAGATTTCTGTGATAAACTGAGTTTAAATATTCTATCATTGTTGTGCCATTGGTGCTATGAATCCTATTCCACTGGCAAAATGGAGAATATTATGATTAACTTATGAAATTGTTTTAGTTGATTACATTTACTGCAAACTTGCACTGTTATAACCGTGTCAATTTCTTATTATACCAGTTCAATTCTTTCATTTCCGTCATAAAAGAAATGCTTAACAGATTGGAGTCCGAACATAAGACTAAACTGGAGCAACTTCATATAATGCAAGAACAGCAGAAGTAAGTAGGTTGCAAATGAGTTCTACATTGTCCAGGGGTGAGATTAAATTTTTGTCATGATTGATTTTCTGGAATACAAAATAGAAAAATGGCTGGATTTTAGTTTGATCATAAGTGAAACATTTAAAATTTTTCTAACATTAATAATTTGAACTAAGCTAAGAAAGGACGTTGTTGAAAATCTAATGTGATCTCTGAATACCAACGTGCAGTAAGATATATTACATGAAGAAAATTCTGTTTCTAAGAAAATCTCTTGTCAGCATTAGCCACTGGTATTATAAACTCAGGTTACTGAACACTGAGTGAGAGCACCATTTATAAATATTTTTCATATCTATAAACCCCTGGTGTTTTGATTCTTCCCTTTCTCTTTTTCTAACCCCAGGAAAATCTGTAGTGTATGTAATAACACAACATCCACCTCTTTATTTTTAGGAAGGATTTTAAAAATTATTTGCAAAGTCCTAGTATTCGAAGGAAGAAGACAAATACTTTATTCACTGGAGCATGCTATTTTATTCATCAAACATTCACTATATTCTTTGTTCCAGTGCAAAACACATGAATTTAGGATACCTGTTAAAGTTTAATCCTGAACCAAAAGACATCTGAAAATCAGCAAAGTTAATTAATATCAATCATGAGCAAGCTCTCCAAATAGAAACTCTTTAGCTTCTGCTCAGGTGTAAGGCGAAGACTTAAGGAAATAACGACACATGGTATAGAACTAGGTATTAAGTATTCTGTGGTGTATACATATGTGAAGTTTGGTGGATTGGCTATATTAATTTAGGAACCCAGCAAAATAATGTTTTTATTTTGCATTTGCTAAATGTGTGTTCAACCACAAAGTTGTACCTCCAGAAGTTACATCTTCAGCCTGAAACAAATTTGTAATGTTTACTTGTTTATATTTAAAAGGAAATAGGCCTTTCCTTTTTTTTCTTTTCTAAATCCTACCTACTTTTGAAGGCATAGATCTGGCCTGTATCACAGTGATTTTCACATTTATTGTTAGTATTGGATTCTGAACTTAATCATCACTTGCCCATATCATATAAGCTTTGGACAGTAAGAGCCATGCTTGCCTTGTTTTATGGCTCCCTGAAGATACTTTCCAATAAATCTCAAATGTTGAGTTTTTAAAAAATGACATATACTAATGTTATTTGTTTGATCAAATGGACATTAGTAGTAGAAAATAGTGAAAAAGATTATAACTTTCGTTTAAAAATGAGGTCAAAGTTTATTTCTTTTGCTGTTTCATAATTCATCTCTCCTGTAGAACTTTGGACATAGGAAATCAAATGAATACCTCTGAGGAGACAAAAGTTACACACACTGGGAATCAGGTAAGAAGATACTTCATTTTTGTAGAAAGTACTTGACAGTGTGCTTCACTTAGGAATCATATTTAAGCAGTAAAATCACATTTGTATTGAAATCCCTTTAAACAATGGGCATTTTTCTATTTCAGCATATTGACAAGGTTTTTAACAACATTGGAGCAGACCTTCTGACTGGTGGTGAATCAGAAAATAAGGAAGATGGGTTACAGAATAAACATAAAAGAGTGAGTTTCTTTACTTTTTTTTTGGTACTTATTTATATTGTGGTACTGCCTTAAACCACAGGTATTTGTTGGGAAAAACTCTTTAGCATCTTAAGAAACATCCTACAATTGGCTTTATGAAATATCTTACCCGTGGAACATAACCTACCCCATGTTGAAAATAAGCATACTTAAAATTTTTGGCTTCCTTTATTACTTGACCTCCCACATGGAAATACTTGTAAATTGCCTGATTTCTTTGCCCCTTCTCCCACTGTGTCTGCTTTGGGCTTTTCCTGTGTTGATGGTATCCATTGCAGATTTATACGCTCCCTAATTACTGCTTTTCAGTGTTTTAATTCTCTCCTTATTTTATCCCCGCCAGGTGAATTCAAAATTTTTTCCATACTTTTTTGAGCCCAGCATTCTCACCTTTATTCTTTCTTTTGTTCCCTGGTGTTAACTTCAACTTCTATGGTCCATCAGATTTTCACGGTGGCGGTTTTGAAGAGTATTTGCCAGTTATTTGGAGGCATGACCCTAAATTTGAGTTTGCCTGATGATTTTTATTTTGTGTTTCTTGAGACAGGGTCTCACTATACAGTCCAGACTGACCTAGAACTCACTATGTAGCCTGAGTTGGCCTCAAACTCAAAATCCTCCTGAATCAGCCTCCTGAGTACTGAGATTATAGGCATGTACCACCACACCAGTCTTACCTGATATTTTCTCATAATAAGGATAAGGTTATATACATTTTTGACAAGAATAATACAGAAGTAATGAAGAATCCTTCTTGGTTTATTCTACCAGGGGTACATGATATCATTATGACTTATTAATGGTGCCAATACTACTTTAAAGAGACTTTTCAAAATAGATTTGATTCCATTTCACAAGCAAAAAATGACAAATACAGTGCATTTTTTTTTTCTTCTCGGTTTTGTATTTGGGTTTTGCTCTCCCTCTGATTTTGAATATTTGGCTATAAAATGATACTTTTGTATTGAAATTTTGGTTAGCATCCAACATAAAAAAAAAACTTGAGTCAATTTTTTACTTCTGTTAAAGGTCATTCGTCTACTCACAAAAATGTGAATTCTGTGTGTGTAAAGACAAGGGACTGCTGAACATTTTAATTTAAAACTTAGAGACAAAAGCACAAGTTTATACTTCAGCAAGATTGCTAAAAGAAAACACTGGGGACTGTAGCATGGCTCAAATGGTAAAGCGCTTGCCTAGCAAGCGTGAAGCCTGGAGTTCAAACCCCAGTACTGCCAAAAGAAAAGAAAAAAAAAAAAACATTGAATTGATGCAGACATCAGCAGTGAATGAATGTGCATATGGTTTTTAAATAATAATTGTTTTATACTGGAAATGTTTAGCACAGATTCTAAAGTTCAGTCTGGTAGTAACTAGAGATATAACTTAGCTATGACAATCACCAGCTCTGGAGTAGTTTGCTTTCCAGTGAAGTAGGAAGGATTGGCAGACATATTTTATATACTTTACCAATGAAGAACTCTTTTTACAAAAGGAATTATGAAGTTGCCAGTTGATTTTTGTTGTTGTTTTGTTTTGTTTTAAGGCCTCACTTACACTTGAAGAAAAACAAAAATTAGCAAAAGAACAGGAGCAGGCACAGAAGTTAAAAAGCCAACCGCCTCTTAAACCCCAAATACACACACCCATTGCTCCAGCCAAACAGGTCAGAGTTGATTTCTTCTGCATAATTTCAAGTGTGAGGAGTATATAAGTAAACTAGTCTGCTAGTGTTTGTAAAAAATGTATTCAAAGAATACTTTAATATATAAAATATTATTACTAAAAAGTATGAACATAAGGATTTTCTAACAACTGTTCCATAACCTGCCTAATGTACAATGTTTTGTGACAGTGCTTTTTACCAATAATGGGGAGGCTGGATGAACAGGTGTGTCTTTATTTGTTAGTTTGCTTTAAGATTAGGTCTTATTGTATTAATTTAGCTTTGTTCACTTTGAAATGATCAGGAATATTATATTAATGCTCTGCTTTTCAGCTATAGTTCCATTTGTAACTGATTAGGAAGGTGTAGCTATATCACCTGACCAGTATTTATTGCCTACAGTGTTCGAGTACAGTTATAGTTGCTGGTACTATGGCAGTGAATAAAGGTCCTGCTTTTAGAGTTTATCCTCTTACTGGTATAAGAAATAACTTTATTTTAAAATCTTCCTCTAACTTATTTTGTTGTTGTTACCTCTTAATTGCTAAAATTCTTTCTCTGAGAAAAGAATTTTTGCAGGCCAACAGGGAAAATTGAGAATATTTTTTAGGTACTTATAGGACAGAGCAAATAAATTGCCATGAAATTTTAATAAAATTCAAAATATAAAAATAATAGAATATTCTTTTTATAAAAATATAAATCTAATAAGAATGGAATTCTGTTTTGGGAAGATAACATTTCACTTAATGTTTACTTATTAAATTATCAAATTCATTTGTAAAAACTAAAAATAAGTGGCAGGTGTTACTTGGCCCATATGGTGTGGTTTACTAGCTTGGTGTAGACTGTTAAGCTTAATTTTAATTTGTCCTTATAATCTGTCAAATGTGTACTAATTGTAAGATAATGTGGGTTGCTTGAAGATAAAATAATTCCCTCCTACTTTTCAGGCAAAGGACTTGACAGACACATTGATGGATAATATGTCATCTTTGACGAGTCTTTCTGTTAGTACTCCTAAGATTTCTGCTTCAAGTACCTTCACTTCTGTTCCTTCCACGGGACTTGGCGTGATGTTTTCTACACCAATTGATAATACAAAGAGAAATTTGACAAATGGCCTCAATGGCAACATGGGCTTTCAGACTTCAGGATTCAACATGCCAGTTAATACAAACCAGAACTTCTTCAGTAGTCCCAGCACACCTGGAGTGACCAAAATGACTTTGGGAGGACCTCCCACTCTGCCAAACTTTAGTCCTCTGAGTGTTCCTCCTGCTGGTGTGAAGCAGACCCCACAAAGACCCACAGATATGTCTGCCCTTAATAATCTCTTTGGTCCTCAGAAACCCAAAGTTAGCATGAACCAACTATCACAACAGAAACCAAATCAGTGGCTTAATCAGTTTGTACCTCCTCAAGGCTCTCCAGGTATGGGCAGCTCGGTAATGGGAACCCAGGTGAATGTGATGGGACAATCTGCCTTTGGCATGCAGGGTAATCCTTTCTTTAACCCACAGAACTTTGCACAGCCACCAACTACTATGACCAGTAGCAGTTCAGCTAGCAATGATTTAAAAGATCTTTTTGGGTGAGGTGTCTTGGTCCTATTTTTGAAGGTTTGCCTCAGATTTAATCATGGTAAGCTGATTTACATCTTTGTATAGTTGGCTTGAAGAAACGACTTACGGAAAAGTCAATGGCTGTGTGTCAGAATTCTAACACCTATTTCCAGGCTAGCCAGCACATAGTAGTTATTTGGACTCCTAACCAGTTGAGTTTTTTAAAGCACTGAGAATTTTTTTCCTCTTCCAAACTGCTCTTCAGGTTTTTAAAGACCCAGACCATACCAATCTCAAAGAGAAAAAGGACAACTGAATTATCTTGAATAGCAAAATTTTTAAATCAAATGTTTATTTTAGCTTGTAAATCTTGGTGTTACTAAAAACATTGAGTTGATGGTAACTGCAAAGCTCACCTATTACGTACCTTGTGGTGCACAGTCTATCTTTATAAGTCACTCGTCTTCATTTTAATATGTGAAAATCTTGATGCTGTATTGGTTTGTTTGCATTTCGTATGACTGAGTGAGAATGGTAAGCATAATAAGAGGATCGGGTCACTTCTTCCAGTCTTTTCAGACAATTAATGTTTAGTACAAAAGGCTGAGTAAACACTGTAAAACTTAACTTACCTTGATTTCATTGGTTTAAAATGCATTCTTAATCATCTTAAGTGCAAACTAATTGTTGTAAATTATATTTTAGCATGATCTGCCTCAAATAGCAATGTATTTTTCTGCCTTTACTTGGATATATTTAGAATCACTTTTTTTCCTTCTGTATTACAGAAGAGGTACTGATTTGTACAGATATTTGACAAAGTACTCTGATGTGATTTCCCTATTATCTTCATATTTCATTTTGAATTCAAACTTCCAAGGTTGCAGCATATATGAATTACATTTTCAAAAGGAGATTTGTAAAAATCAAACTATATTTAATGAGTAAACTTTTGAGATTTCTGCTGTATTGTTTCAAATGTAATAAACTTCTCTAAAAATGAGCAGTTGTATCTTCTGGCTACCCACAGATTAATTTTCATATTGCAATGACAGTCTGACCTCACCAATTACTGCTACTAAGGTTTTAATTCTTTCTTTTTTAGGAATTCCAGGAACATTTTGTTTGAACATTTTTAGAAAGAATAAATTCTCCTAACAGGGAACATATTTTATTTTTTAAAACCTTTTTCTGGTGTTTTTCTTTAATTTGCTGATTATTTAACCACAGAGCCTAATGCTGTAAACATCATTTGTATTTTTAAGAATGATAGTCCACTGTTATGTGATAACTTTAAAACTATCTTTTTAAGAACTGTATATGTATTGCAGATGCTGCCATACAGTTTGTGGTTTTAAATTATCTGAAACCAGCAGTCATTTAAAATAAGTTATAGGACATTTAGTGTGCTGGTAATAAACTTGTTCATTCAATATGAATGTTCATGAAAAAATATATATACACACATATATGTGTATGTGCACACGACATACATGACATACAGTACTTGATTGTAAAATGTAATTTGATGCCATCATTGTTGCTGACAACATTCAGTTAAGAGGGCACTTAAAAAAAAAATAAAAGCCAGCTTTCACACCTGAGAGCTGTACTTTGTGGCATGATTTTAGAAGGACTAGTAGGACTGCTAAAGAAATTTATCCAAGAAATGAAGAAACTAGGAAAACCAAAAATGTTTTTGTCAAAGACATTCACAACTTGACCCAACCAGCTGTCTCATTTTTAACGCAATATTTCTTTTGGGAAAAGTTTACAGAAGGAATAAAATCGTTTGTTGTTGAAATATTTTTCTTTGTAACAATTCAGTAGCTATTGTTTATTGGGAAATTATTTTTTATCTTACAAGATAACTTGGTGTTAGTGTTGAATTCCTAGTTAGAAGGAAACTTTAATATAGCAGCTTATAGGTATTGGAACATCTAAATATGAAAATAGGTTATTAAAAACATGTAATTCTTAGATAATTTTTAGCTGTTCAGAGTTGTTCATTCATTAAGGGAATAGTGGTGCTACATTTTTACAAAGTTGTTCTTAGTTTTATTTCTACTGTCTCAAAGATGTTTTATTTAAACCATTTTCATCAAGTGAGCTATTGTCATTCCCTTTTCCTGTTATGAAATTGCCTCTGAAAAACTTCTGTTTTTAGGCTAATGTGTTTCTATGTGAACACAACTTTCAGAATACTGGATCACCTTAAAATTACTTCATATTTTGAAGGCATTTATGTCCTCGTGCTTACAGTAGAAAACTGGAAGGTTAAAGAACAACTGTAGACAAAAATTACATCAAAGAGTCCCTTTCTTTGAATTGGTTCTCTTTTCTCCTAATTCTAAAAATGTGTGATGTATGTTGAGGATGTATAAAAGGAAATAGACTGTCTGCTTTTTGTTTTTTTGTTTATATTTTGAAATGCTTACAACCCTCTTTTTTGTTGAATAAGTTAAAGAGGTAGTTTTTTTTAAATACCTGTAAAATGCCTCACATGGTTTCTTTTACATATTAAAGAAAAAGGTATATGTGAAAATGCTTGATAGCAAGCAGAAATATGCATCAAATAAATTTTAGCTTTGATAAACCTTTCCATATTAAGTTGTGATTTTATACTTTGTGATTTACTGGTCTTGGAATAATTTTAGGATAAATGGATCTGCAACAATCTAAACTATATAGGATTTTAAGAGATTATCTACATTAATGGCTCTCAAAGTGTAATATGCAGTAAGACATGTTTTTTGGTTTGTGTATTTTGAGACGGGGTCTTAACGTGTAGCTCAGACTGGCCTCAAACTTGTGATTTTCCTACCTCGGTCTTCTGAGTGCTGGGATTATAAGCATGCATCATTACACTTGGCTAAAACTTACATTTATATTACAACCATTGTATAAAATATATCTGGAACAAAAGTTTGAGGAATTGTCTTAATAAGTATATTTTGCTCTATGTCTCATTTTAGTATTATTTTTAAGAATTTTACTAACTAAAAGGATTTTATGACTTAGGACTAAATAACGATCTCTTTCTGAGCAAATGTGGAAACAGGTCCTGAGGTTTACATGGATTACTCCAAGGAGGTCAGAGCTAGGAACAGAAGCTAGATTTTTTTCCTAATCTGCAGTTATTTACTGGATAAATAAATTTATATTGGAAAAAATTTGATTTTTGATATAAATAAATTTATATTGGAAAAAATTTGATGTTGAACTTGGGGAGAAGAAGGAAATGACAGAAAAGAAATCTACATTGTCAAAATCACCCTCAGAGCTGCTGCTTTGAATTGCGCACGAGGAGAGCTGGGGGACTGGGGTCAGTGGTGCTTACAGGACCCACATATATAATGGAATTAAAGCTCATAAACTTGGGGAGGAGAGTGTGAGTTTGGCAAAGCCATTTCACTCAAATGGAGCTTCTCTATTCTAGTCAGCCAAGCTGTTCCAGCCACTCGGAGGATTTAACTCCCTAGGGAGCAAGCCATGTATGTAATTTGAACTTTTCTCATATCCCTATTAAAACAGGTGAAACAAGTTTTAATTTATTTAACATTTCCAAAATATCATTTTTACATGGATTTCAAACAAATCAATGAAATATTTTACATTACTTTTGGTACTTAGTCTTTGAGGCTTTTTTCGGGGGGGAGGGGGGGAAGAGGGAGGTTACTGGGGTTTGAACTCAGGGCCTCATAGGCAGGAGCTCTATCACTTGAACCACTCTGCCGTATGTATTACACTTAGCACATTTTAATGCAGACTAATTCTTGTCAAGTGCTTGGTGGCCATTTGTGGCTAGCAGCTCCTGCATTAGACAGTGTGAGTCCTCCTGAACTAGTACAAGGAGAGAACCATGGCAGTTACAATTCTTTCCAAACTCTCCTTTGTGCTGCTGGAACTGGATGCTGGTAACTCTTCTTCACTAGCTGGCACTGAAACAACACTGCAAAGCAATAGCCAACAGACCAAGCCAAGGAGCTCCAGCTGCACCTCACCTTCATCCCTCTACCCTTGCTGCTGCCATGGAGCAGTTCCAGTGGGCTGCTCTCATGACAGCTCTGCTACTCTGTTCCTCTCACAAGTTCCTTCCCCACTGGCGTGCTCCTGTGCACACCACACCCATATGTAGCGTGGGAGTGGGGCAGGGGAAGAGAGCCTGTCTGGGTCTCTAGTTTGTTTATTTTTAGCAACTGCTGCTTTTGTGTCCTTTCTAGTCCTCTTTTACCTCTTTAAATAGTTAACCGCTTCTACTAGTTAACAATTATTTAAAAATTCCCTGTGCAAGTAGCTGGTGTGATTTCTGCCTTCTGACCACTCTCACTGATAGACTGTGAATCTAATACTTAGCCATTTAAAAAATGGAGCCATAGCTGGCTGCGGGTGGCTCATGCCTGTAATTGTAGCTACTTGAAAGCCTGAGATCTGCAGGGTCACAAGGCCAGCCTGGGCAGGGAGTTGTGAGACCCCATCTCAACCATTAGGTGGGCACATTGGCTTTGTGCCTGTCATCCCAAGTTACAAGGGAAGCTGAGATACTGAGGATCATGGTTGCAGGCCAACTTGGGCAAAAAAGTTTGTGAGACGCCATCTCAATGGGAAAGGATGGTAGCAAATACCTGTCATCTCAGCACTGGCAGGAAGGTTAAAGTAGGATTGCAGTCCAGGCCAGTGTGGGCAGAAAGTGAGATCCTATCTCCAAAATAACAAGAGCAAAAGGACTGGAGGCACGTTCAAGCGATAGAATGCCTGCCTAGCAAGTGCAAAGCTCTGAGTTCAAAACCCATACCACCAAAAAAATGAAGCCATATGACACATTTTCAGTTAGCAAGACATGGAATTGTATAAACGTATTTTAGAATGTCTTTTTTTTTTTGGTGGTGGTAATGGGGTTCAAACTCAGACCTGTGCCTGCTGAACCATTTGAGCCATGCCCTTACCCCAAAACTTTTCTGTCTGAAAATTCGTTTTTGAACTGTTAAGGGTCAAACCCTGGACCTTTTGCATAATTGATAAGTGCTCTACCACTGAGTCACACCCAGCTTTTTTTTTTTTTCTTCTGATGGGACTCAGGGCTTGCAAAGCATCTTTTGAAATTCAGTTTAATTATACCTACTTGATGCAGTTTCAATTTTCTCCCCACTCCCACTTTTGGATATGTTCTCTTATATGGTGGCCTAGGTTGATGGAGTGTTTTGACTTTTACATAAAGGTAGTAAGATGGAGGCTTAAATGTCCAGAATTTGAATGTAGGACTCAACATTCACACAGGTTTATTCCAGCCTATGTCCCTAATCCTGCCAGTGTTTCTAAGCACAGTGATGAAGCAAGTCAATGGTGAGGCATTTCGGTGGGCATTCTAGGAAGATACAGTGCATGGACTTTGGGCCAGATTAAGATATATGCATGTGTGTGTTTAAATTTAGGCTAAACTTTCAGCATGCCTGCTTCATGGATATAGGGCAGAGTGCTTTAGGCATTTGTTCGTATGTTGGAACAGACCTAAAATTGTTTTTAAGAAAATCTTGTTTCCATCAGTGGGCACTCATGATCACTTTTTATTGTTGTGTTTTGGTTTTTGAGACAGCATCTCTTACTGGCCTTGAACTCCCGATCCTTCTGCCTCAGTCTTCTGAGTGCTGGGATTACAGGTATGCACCACCACTCCTGACTACTCAAGATTGCATTTGTAAAGAGAAGGAAAGATCTCTCACAGAGGCGTAGATTTCATGAGGAAATTTTAGATCTGTGCTGAGCTTCAATTTCTGTGATTACATGAATCTTCAAAGCTCCAAGCACTTGTCAGAGAATAACCTTTATTTCTAACATTCAAAATCTCACTTTTGAGAAATGTTTATGAAATAGGCCCCAAATCAAATATTCAGTTTGCTAGAGATTCTGAATTAAATTAAGCCCACTTATTGAGACCTTTGTGCCTGGGTTGCCTTGTTTGACCATACACCAAGTTTTCTTTATTACATTTAGCTTTGGGAGAATACTGGTTTATTTTAACATGCAATTGGTTCTTTGAGTTCCCACAGTAGAAATTTCAGATTTCCGTTCATTGAGTACTATTCCCAGCCCCCCCCCCACT